GGATATGAATGGGGCTCTCGGTAGAGGGCGCCCTAGACGGCTATATAGTGACCAGATTGGCGATATATTAAAGAAGCGCCAAATTAAAAGTACCCTTAACCGACGAGCATGCATGAAAAGATTATTGACTGTTGATGAAGCGAAAGAGGTATGTAGGAATCATAGTGATTGGCGTTCCATAGTCTCTGCCTAGCCCCATGAGAGACAGGCGTAAAGTTATGTATGTATGTATACAGTCATAGTAACTAGAGTCAGACATTTATAAACTAAACTTCCATCAGAATTTAGAATTTCAATTTAGAATGAATCATCAAGGTACGGTAATATTAACAAGTTGACGTGTTATGCTTAGCACAAGAATGTATTTATAAGGGACCTGAACATCTGAAGCAGCAAGCAGTTACATTAAAACGGTTTGTTCTGTCCAAACTACAAATTGAATGAAGTTTGTTCTGGCCGTTAATTAAAACTTAAACATAATTTCATATTGAGTTGTGGGCAAACTGTGCTATGTTCAATAAACAGAACAACGTAAAACTTTGTTGAACCTGCCTTAAGATAACAAGAAGAGGCGAAACTCATTAAAGTTTTATGTTCGATCCTGGGCGGCGCGCATCCGACATTGTTGATCTTTCTCAGCCACTTTAGGAGCTAATTATTGCTAATAGATAAATACTAAATTACTAATAAGACGCCGAGCGCACCTGAATTTAAAGCGAAACTTACTAATTGTTTACTCAATTTTAGAATAACTTCGCATAAATAGATCGAAGTTTCTGGAAATGCTTTAGCGCTGTGTGTATTGCTTAATGAGTAAAGATAAATAATGTATAATACTAAATCTTTCGTGAGATATACTAAATTAATTATCTAATTATCATATTTTCGGCTAACTCAGGTAACATTTTGACGAAGATTTTATTTTAAAAAATCCGTAAAGTGGACCACCCAGACTTGAAACTAGTCGAGTTCCTCGTCAAACATTTACGTGAGTAAACCGAAAACATAACAATAAATAAATCACGTATAAAAGAACAGTCGCTATTATTGTTTAGCTGCTTATCAATTATCCAAAACAAAATGATCGAACTGATTATAATGACGTCCAAGATTAAGCTATCCTCTTATGTGATAGCGATGTTGAACATTCGGAGGAAAACGATTCAGGTATTAAGAAAAATAATTATTTTACGCAGTAAAGCAGATAGTAGACCACAATTATGCACCAAACTGATAAAAACCATGATTATTTTAAAGGAAATGTACCTAAACAATGTTGAAACTAATTTCTATTTAGTTAGAGTTGAAAATTACTTTTTGTTAGTCTGAAAGTAAACACTGTTAGTTATTGAATAATTTGAATATCGATGTGTGCTTTAATTTATTACTGACCCTTTCCATGTAACCTTAATCGGTATTACCTTGGTCTATAGACTTATATATCATCGAAAAAGCCCTAATTTTCATGTCCTAGCAAGGGTTATGGAGACCTCTGTAAATTTTGATATGTACCAAGATTCATATAAGTCTTTATATCGTACATAATTCTTACCCTTTCATAGAAATATAGACGATAGCCTCAAGGTATAGATGGAAAACATTCGAATAATCATAAAATACAAAGGGGTAAGGATCGGTATTTGTTTTAATAAACTTTGATTTCTGTTCAACAGAAAGTAAGACATTACGAGTAATATTTGGAACCAGTATGTACTATGCTTAGTTATATAATTGGTCTATATATATTCGAGTATCGTATGCACCTAAAGAATCTTAACTTAAGAATAAACAACGAAATCAGAATCACAATATTATCTTCAACAAAACACTTATTAATACGTCCTTGTTTCATTTATTACAAAATAACCTTAAAATAAATGAGTAATGTAATAGATAAGTGTGACTACAATGAGTAATTCATTCAATATATAACAATAATCCACTCCTATCATATAATAAAAACATAAAGTGCTAAAAATACATTATTACTTGACACAATAACATTACTAATCTTTATTGTAGCTTATATATGAGACATAACTATACTGTCATCAAAAATCCTAATTTATATTATTAACAATCTTATTTATTGACTGCTTGCTTTATCAGTCTCGAAGTCACAATTCAGATTGGAGTTTGATAAAATATTTTTGTATGTATTCAGAACTTTAGGATACAGAGTAGAGTTCTCTCAGATCGGAAAAGGGGGATCCTCCAACCAGGCGAGGTGATCGTGCCTGGCGAGCTACTGGCCAACAGTTGTTCATTGCGATTTTCTATTAATGTTAAATCATGCGCAAACTTTGCCATATAGTTTTTTATGTCATCATCCATAATTTGTCGTTGAAACTTCAATGTGAGTCGCCATAGATCTACTTCAAAATAAATTAAAGGGTCAACTATGTCAATCCTATCTACTATTAAATGTTATACGTAGAATGATGCAGTTTTATTCTGACCTAAGTCCCACACGCCACGTATTTCCAGATCTCTCTAGGCCTTAAGTTCCGCAGTCTATAGACAATTTTAGACTATAAAAAAACTAACACGAACCACATTGATTTGACTGCACGGTTGGTGCGGTGGCTAGGCAACCGGCTGCCGTGCAACGTGTCGCGGGTTCGATTCCCGCACGGGACAACACTTTGTGTGATCCACAAATTGTTGTTTCGGGTCTGGGTGTCATTGTGTATGTGAACTTGTATGTTTGTAAACGCACCCACGACACAGGAGTAAATCCTTGTGTGGGGCATATTTCTTTTAAAGAAAAATAAAGAAAAATTGATATCCTCCAAATACAAAGTTCTGATTTTGTAATGTAATAATATTATAATCAAAATCTCTTTTTCAGTAAATACATAGTTAGTCAATTTAATTAGTCAAGTTAATCACGCTAGAGTTACATTAATCACATGACGGATTTCAAATAAGATTTATAGCTTGACATGTCATTGCATTTCAGTAAACTCTACCTACCCATTTACAAAACCAAATTAGGCGTCACTACTCGTAAATTAACCCTTAATTCATTGCTTTTATGTCTATATAATATAACATCACGCCTTTTACCCCGAAGGGGTAGACACATTACGGCAAGTAATGCTACTGTACAATTTAACACCCAATTTTCACTATTTATATTATTAGTCCCATGTAATAGGAGGTGAGGCTGGAATTGTTCCCGGTATATGGCATGACTCCGTGCTACTACTGAGATTTTTTTTAAAACCTAGGAGCACTGTTCCCAATCCAGGAATCGAACTTGCGACCACTCGGCCGATGAGGCAGTCTATATACAATTACTAGTTTACTTAATACATAAAACTGAAAAGTTTGATAGTTTGAATGTGTTAATATGCGGAGCTACTGACTCGAATTGAACAAGCGTTATTGTACTGATGTCCATTTTTTTTATGGCATAAACCGGTTACCGAGCAGACGGATCACGGGTAAGTAATCGGCGTCGCCCATGGCCACCTGGAACACCAGAGGCGTTACAAGTGCGTTCGGATCGTTGGGATTCAGGAATTGGGGAAAGGGGGGTAATTGGGCCTCCGGTAACCTCACTCACACGACGAAACACAACGCAAGCATTGCTTCACGTCGGTTTATGGAGGAAGTCAATATGATGTACCATCATGATACAATCAATAGGAGATGAAAAAATCGGGTGAAACCGCGGGATTAGCTGGTTGGATAGACTTAAATATCGGTTTACATAATGTTTTTTATATAAAATTAAATTATAGTTAAATACTAGTTGACGTGAAACCAGACCATCGATAAACCGATATTGCGTCAAGGACCTACGTAATTAGAGGTGTTTTATTCGTAATTAATGGTACAATGTAAGAATGTCTACATCGATACTTTAATAATAGAGGTCTGGTCGATCGATCGATACTTTAATAAAAAACTGGTCGTTCTGATTTTAAAATTTAAGCTAGTCTACCTTTTTATCTAACTTTCCACAAACAATACGGATACATAAACTTTTACTCAATAATTTCCCATAAAACATATAGGCACGTCACTGCTCACATTGATTGTCGCTATGTCCCAATCTCGTGCGTAAGTGTTCAGAAATATTCACAATTGATACACAATTATCATGACATCGTTTGAATATAAATGTAACATAAAAAATGATATGTCAAAAAAAGCTGGCACGAGTGTATTTAATGTCAGTGAAAAAACAAATGGATGTTCATTTATTGTCTTCATTTTTGGACAGATCTGTTACGATTTATTTCCCTCCGTATCATTTATCTTGCTACATCAGCTAGCGAAATACTGAAACTCTGTACAAGCTTGTCTTTACGAAATTGTTCATAATAATATGATGAAAACTGACACAGAACTCAAGAAAAAACATAAAACACAAACGGTTAATTTAAAGTATTATTTAACGAAAATAACTGTGTGTAAATCTGATTACGCAGCCATTGCTTTATCGCTTTGTTGCCGTAATTAAAACGCTCCATTCCGACTAATTAAAGTATTGCTTCATATTTAACTGACACAAAACCGCATGTTCATTAAAAATAGGAATCATTTTTGCTTTAGCTTACATCTTTATAATGGCTTTATTGTCCCAAATCCTCTGGGCCGCAATCCCCGCATGACACTTGACGGACGGGACACAAAAAAATTGCCGAATAAACCATATTTTTGTCGCTCATATTGACTTTTCTCTTTGTTTACCTTGAACATACTAACGAGTGACGAAAGCACGATTTGAAGTCTCACAGAAGATATTGTTATCACTATTATCGTGTAGCTATAGGGCATTAATAGATAGGGATCAAAATTTGTAACGCAATCACTGTCCAGATAAAAATAACGAGTGAAACATATATAAACGCTTTAGCACTGATAATTATTTATTAGTGAAAAAGGGGCTAGTACCTAGTACAACTCTTTAATATTTGTATTGAATACAAATAATAATTATTTCGTGTTTTTACTTATTGTGATAAAAGGTATTAAAATCTGACAAAATGACTGCCGACGCACTCGCGAAAACTAGAATCTCCAACCGTGTGGCCCGCCTTAGGAAGAGTGCTGCTGAACGGTACAGCATCGATGAGAAGGAGGTGCACATTGGCCACATGGCTCTGGAATCCATGTTACTGGACCCAGACATGATCAGCCAGGTAAGGAACATTTTAATTTAATTTTGTGTGGTCATTTACTACATTGAACATAGCCGATGCACGTCAGCGTCAACTTACCCCTCCAACAAATAAAAGCCGTTAGGTTATATCATTGACAAAAGGACAATTTATTTACAGCTATTAAAATCCAAATTGATTTCAAGTAAAACCGTGGAGAGCTTTTTAATGATTAATTACTCGAAGTATCTGTTACCAATTACCTACATTATCTTAAATTATTATTTTATTAAAGAAACAAGAGAGTAATTTCGAGTAAACAAATTCTAGTGAAATTTAAAATAATTTGCTTTGCAAAGATATATGTAATTTAACAAAAGGGGTAGAAGTCAGGATGGTGACCTTTTAAAAAAAAATGGGAATATCTCTTTCCACGAAGACATAAAGAATCTTCCCACACACGCAGTTTTCAATAATTTATAAAAGTTAACTGTGATTTTTTATACCAAAAAAGCCTTTGGAAAATTTGTAAGCCGATTTCAGAATACCTACAGATTTATCATATCTACGCTTACCAAAAGGAACTTTTGAAATATAGATAAGAAATCACAGAAACTAATAGTTAGAAGTGCTAGATAAAAATTTAAAAAGAAAACTAATAAGGGGAAAGCAAACTGCGGTAAAACTGAAATAACTCAGTAAGGAATACGTGTTCACGTACATAGTTTACAGTCCCGGACTCACGTAGTATGAGAACTATTTGTTCATTTATACTACCCAGTACTAGAAAACCTAGTTCTAGTTGTTGCTAAATAAACCGCCCTCTATCGATTTTAACCTATTTTTGTAACACTCTGTGTAACAATGTTACAAAAATAAGCTGCAAAATCTCGCTGATCCATTTCATGCTTGTTTTTATTTTAAATGTTATTTGATTTCATTTTAAAAGTTGTTTACTATTAATTCTAAAGGTTAAATCTCTGCATTTTCTAAGAAGCACCTTGTTTCAAATTTCAATTAAACTTAATAAATCGTTTTGATATTAATATTTGTTGACTTTTTATTGACATTGTACATTATATGTATTCAAACGATTTTACTTATATTTAGACTACAAAAAAATCTGCTAATATATTCCGAAAGTAGCTTAGTAGAACAAAATTAATCAGCCGAAAACTTAATCTCGAAATTGAGATTTTTTGTGCGTCACGATCTAGAAAAGTTAATTGCTTCTAACCTAATTATTTTGTAGTGTCTAACGTAATACTTATATTGCATTTTCTTAATTACGTTTTATTTTTACGTAGTCTTTCTTACATCGCATAATTTATTGTAAACAACTAGTACTTTGAGAAGTTGCAAACAATACCAATTTGATCTGATAACTTTTAATGAGCTATGTGAAAATAACGAATATTATATTAATACTTTATTAATATGGTTATCAAAGTCACTATGATATCAGACTCTTTAACAAACCTCAAATATCTAATACCCTCAGACAATTTTAGGTTTATTAATTAAACTATCGATTTTTTCTAGATCGATTTCACCACTGAACAAGAGGAAACGAATAGATCTGTGGCTCAGCGCTCAAGCCGTCTTGCCAGTGCTATGGTTAACGCTGGCCTGAAGCCTGGAGACCCCGCCATTGTCATGGGCAACAACCACATGGACCTCTGCATCCCATACTTTGCCTGTCACTTTGGAGGATACCCCATGTGCGCTATCGACCCCAGTATTGGCAAAAGTAAGTAGATTAAATAAATAATCCGTGATAAAGAGAAAATAATTAAAGATTTGCTCGTTTAACTAAGTGTTCTTTTCAATCTAATTAAAATTTTCTTGTTATTCACAGATGACTTAGTCAGTCTATTCCCATACATCTTCCCCAAAATTGTCTTCTGCCTGAAATCTTGCGAAGAAAAGGTCCGCGAAGCGTTCAAGGTCAACAACCTTGAGGGCTTCATCGTCGTATTTGATGACAAAAAAACTGATATGGAAGCTTTCGTTCAAGAGCACAACGGCACTGAAGTTGACTACAGGTAAATATAGAACCGTCTAGAAACAATATTAAATGCGTGGCCCTTTTGGAAATGATCAATTAAGATAATACTGACGAAATACAGCTCTATCTACGGAATTATCAACTTACGATTAAAATGTATAGAAAATTAATGAAATAACCATTCATAAATGTGATTAGTAATACATATGAATCGTTTCGTAGTAATTGATAAGCAGGTACCTACTGAAAAACTGTATGATGTAGTAAATTTTTATATATGAAGTTTCCTTTAATGTTTTTGATGTTTACAGGCCAGCTACTTTCGACCATTCCAAAATTAATGCCTGGTTGATGCTGACCAGCGGCACCACGGGCTTACCGAAGGTCGCCACCATACCATTTGACACATTACTCCATGGAATCATTAGTTGGTGGTAAGTACAAATTCTTGTTAAAAAGTAATACAAAGCGCCGAGAACTAAAAAACAGTAACTAAGGATTTACTAACTCTTACTAACATTAAAAAACTTGTAAGGTCACCTACTTATTTAATCTTAAGGATATAAGTAATGCGTCAGATACCTAAAAGAAAGGCTTTAGCAAAACCAAAAACAACACTGATATGGTGAGGCGATAAATAATAAATTAAAATGAAAATCCTCAGCTTAGTCATTTGACTGGCCGATTAGTTTGGGCGCGGCGGATTATAACGGTCGCCTGTTTTAGCGATTGAATCATTAATTTGCCAAACAATCATAATTCACAATGTTGTAACGATTAAAATGATATTATAGAATGATGTCACCTTTTTGCCGTAGGGTTTTTCATGATAACATTTGCAAATCTGTTTCGTATTATTGATATAAATGTAGGTACAAAAACTGTACACAATACGTTGATTTGTAGGCACTTATAGCTAATTATAATTTAGAAGCCTATCATACATTAGATCCTCATAAATCAATTCATATTACTAATCAATTAATTACAAGTAGATGCCCTCGGAACTTCGTTACACTGAACATGCTCTGAAACTTATTGCAAGTTTAGTTAGTTCGAAACATCGCATATCGGTAAATAATAAATTAATGGTATTAGTTGAAGTTCTGTCCAAAACTAAATGTTTGGGACTCACCGCACAGCTCCAGCACATCGAACATTTATCATTTATATTCGCACTTAAACATTCGAGAACTTTACAAGTATAATTTAAAAACTTTACGGTATTCACAGGACTGTTCTTGTTAAACATGAACTAAAAGAACAGCAACTCAAATAGACCAATTAAAATAGATCATTCGCAGAAAAGATGTTAAATAAATAAAATGTCTTTACAGGGAACCCTTCCCAGAGAAAGTAGAAAGCATTCTGGCTATGGCTACATTACAATGGATGTCATCCCTACTCTACTTCATTTCGGGTCCACTGAAGGGCTCCACCAGGATTCAGGCGTCTGAACCATTAACCCCGATGAAGCTCGTCCAAATTATCAACAAATACAGGGTAATTATAATGTTAATACAATAACCGATAAGAACCAGGTGTTATATATAAACCACCTGATAATATGTTGCTACTGTGATTTCTGCCTACTGATACTAAAACATATTCTGATAATATTTCAGCCCGTCACGACAGCGTTCACGCCATATTTATTAGGTCATTTTCTGAATGCCGCCGAAAAAACTTGTGACTTATCGTGTCTCAAATACATTGTTATTGCGGGCAGTGCTATCGAGAAACCATTATTGGACAGATTTAAAGTAAGTAATATCGTAAAATATGTTATATAGAGTTAGATAGCGGCTACTAAAAAAATACCATTCTTATTATGATGGAAATTAAGTATGTAGTATGTAGTAGGTACAGTCAAATAATGTTATGGGTTCTATGTGGTACGGAGCCTATTGTCAACGACCTTTACTGAGATTTATTTAATGAGAACTCGTTTTAGCCATTGCTCAATATTCACAGTTACAACCACTATACCTTTTTTAAGCTACTTCAACAATTCTTATTTTTATTTAATATTCGCTCTCCAGGCTTTATTATATAAAAGAAATATCTAGATAACTCGTCTCTACGAAGTCTAAACGTGTTTAACTTGTGGTAACGATAATATTTTTCCTAGAAGAGGGGGATTGTATAAATAGGGTAAATGGAATTGTAGGACTGTAATTGTTTTGAGGGATCAGAATGTAATGGTAACATGTTTTTATGAACTAGAGATACATATTTGCAATGTAATTAATTTCTTCTTTAGTCGAATCATAACTGCCGTGCTAATATTCGAAAAGGGGTTCTGAAATTTTGGGGAAATATGTTTTAAAGAAAAAATGAACTGTTTTATTAATCAAAGCTTTTATTTATTTGCAGAAAGTATGCGATGCATTCATGTACCTGGTGTATGGAATGACCGAGTTGTTGGTACCTGTCTTCGATTACAACGACGACACTCCATTCGGGTCGACCGGCAAACCTCAGTCACAGTATGAGTTTATGGTATGTAGTCCTCTATTTGAATATTCATATACATTTTCTACGCTTAAACTATGTAAACTAATTGGGAAATTAGATTGGACAAACAGTTTGGCAGTTTTAGTTACCAAAACTGCGAAATTCAGAGAATTGCCGAAATAATGTATCATTGTTAGTAGAATGTTTACATATTCTCACAAATATATGCTTAAATTGAGCAATTTCATAATCATGGTTGTTTTTTGTAGCTCGTGGATGATAATGCTAAGCCCTTGGAAGGTGCATACAAGACCGGTGAACTGTGGATTAAGGGCGACGCCTTCTTCAAGGTAAGAAAAACACATCAGGGTATTTCTATGAATGAGAGAATTAGTCATCACCTACAATAATCGTAAAATCTAAACAACAAATGTTTAGATACAAAAAATCTAAATACGCATAAAAACTAGCATATATTAATGTGCACATTAAAGTAAGTTATGGAGCTTTGGGGACCCTTTATCTTGTGGTTTACAAAAAAGTCGATAATTTGTTACCCAAAAATAGTATTCAGTTTGTTACCACGCAAAACGTATGAGAAAGATTCTCAGAAACTCAATCCCCAAAAAGGTAAACCGTTAGTTAAGCCGTGGGCTGCGGATGATAATGCCCCAAGGATGAATATACATTCATAATTTACTGACGCTATAATATTGCTTCGGTCTCGACACAGTTACTCAATAAAATATACAAAACACGCTTCTTTAGTGCCAAGTTTAGTGCTTAAAATACGAAAATCCCTTACAAAAATATTAGACGAAATAAGCTATATGAAATACTTTAGGCTCTCAAGTTATCTGTGCATTTATATGAAGAACCGTTTTCTTTTGAACATCAAAATGAATATTATCGAAAACACATTATTGTGAATACCATGTAGAGCCGTTAAGATTACTTAGGACACAAAGAATTCTGCCCGAATATATTCGATGAAAATCTTGTATCAAAGGAACGTTTATTTAAAATGGCTCAATTTCCAGGGCTATCTAAACAATGCTGAGGAGACCAAGACCATGTTGACTGACGACGGATGGTTCAAAACTGGAGACATGTTCTACAAGGACGAGCAAGATTATTACTACTTTGTGGAGCGCAAGAGACTTTTAATTAAGCACTACGGTTTTCTGGTAACTATTTTTTCTTACTTTTTCTATTTAGACTCCATTTAATTACTTTTTCTAATCAGAATTTCTATCAAACGTGAGGTTCCTTCAAAGTGGAAACTAATTTCAAAGAAGTGCGCCTCGAAATTAAAAAAATTAATGACGCGTAAACATAGCGATGCAATCAATTTACCCAATCACATTCTAAGTTTTCAAGGAAATATTGTTGAGTTAAAACCTTTTAAAATAATGCAAGGCGAAAACTCAGTCAGCGTAAACTTAGCTAGACTTATTTCTCTCACGCTCTGATTCATTCCAGTGGAGCAGTGTCTCGAGTCGGTTGATATGCGACAAGAGAAAACTAAGTCTTATTTCACAAGAAAAATATCTTCCAAATCCTTGCTAGCCGTCTGCATTTCGACGTTGCTATGACAACATCGCTCCACTTTACACAAATAGATTTCATTGTACATTTTCTTTTGTTAATTGATATTAAAAATTATAATACGATTCATTTTAAAAAAGATGCTCTCGCATGAGCAGGTCCATTCATTTTTGAAGCTGTGAACTCAGCCACTCAGAACTGGTTACGTTATTATCAAACGGTTCAAGTCATATTCATTCTTGCAGACAAATTAATTTTGCATGGCCAAGTATTACTAATGTTCTCGTGAATGTAATACCAGTTGGTATGGAAATATATTTCGTGAATGAGTAGGTAAATAAAGATGTTCTTCTATTGTTACAAATCAAGCATCGATCTTAACTCCAAATAGATAATTTAGGCAGCAATAACGATGCAAATGGTCTATTTGAAATGCTAACAATGAATTGTTTTGTCAACAGCTTTCCCCATTAAAAATGGAGGAGATTGTCAGGCGCCACCCATCCATAGTAGATGCCTGTGCGGTCAGCCTGCCACAACTTGATTGTACAGAACTGCCCGTTTTTGCCCTACAGAGAAGAAATGGTGATAAAGTTGACACACAAGAAGTCGCTGAATTATTGAGAAGTGAGTATCCCCTAAAACATAATTATAATTTTATATCTTTAATCCATTATTTCGAAGACACAAGACAAAGCAGTCTATATACGTTAATCTACTTAAAGTCTACATCTATTTTGATAGTCCCGGACACAAACACGCCACTAGAATATCTAACTGGTATCAGATAAACTAATTAATAATCAACTTGAACCAAATATTTTTCCATGAGGTATTTGTTTACATTTAACACTGCTAATGAAAATATGCGATATGATTTTTATGATAATCGTAAACCATTACCTATATTTGATGTAATAAATATGATATTGAGAGATTAATTGGTTATTATAGATAGCTCTAATAAATTGAGTAATCATATCTATCTTAAGTGCCCATGATAAGTTGATAGGTGTGTGGTTTCATAAAACTAATTGCTAAAATGTCCTATTTATGGAATGTCGTCTAATCATCTAATGAATGTATTTAGTGGATACTTAGAAAAAGTAATACACTATGATGTCCTTCGTACATAGTAATGGGTAGTATCTAGTTGTACTTCAAAATTTAAGATGTTTTTGACATGGGACATCCTATAGCGCTTTGTCTCCTAAATAAAAGTCTACCACGTAAATAAGTGGAGATACTTTTGATTTTTCTAATCAAATAATTTATTGAGACAGCCAAATCTTTAATCCTGTGTAGTGTAGTGTGTGTGTGTGTACTTTGATGAAAATTCAAGAAAACTCATATCGCGCGTCATAATTACTTGTGTAACAGTTGGTCCGTATATTGCGCAGTAATAAAATTCATTTGCGAAATAACGTATAGCCGTGAATACAGAAATTTTCGTTTGCAGCACAAACGGTTAAAATATGAATTCTCTTCGTTTTGTGTCATCTTTTTGTTCATAATTCATTTATAAATAATTAAGAAAATGCAGTAGCAATTGCATGAAATGCAATCATATTAATTGCTAGTAAATATAAATACTCGGGTTCGTCTGTGCGATCTTTTTATCCGAAATACAATTGCATTGCGAATCTGCAATAAGTAGGAAACAGTCAACGTAATTAATTACTATATTAAAACAATGAATTTCTGTTCGCTTTCGTAGATGTAATACAATACAGATCCTCATTAATATAATACTTAATTGATTCAAAGTAACAAACATTTCGTTGATTGTTTTTATTGATAACTACCTACTTGTTCGTTTTAATGAATGCCGATAAAATCTCAGCTCAGATGCTTAAATTAAAACAGTAAAAGCACCTATTCATTTGGAATCTATTTAAATTCTAAACATCTTGGAGACATGAAAACCACTCTTAAAGTCTAAATAGAAAATTTAAATAAAACGTACATTATAATATATAAATTGATGGTATCAACTGATGATGGATGTGAAAGCGAGCAAACTTATTTTATCCCCTTGAGGCTTGTATTTGAGATAATATTTACAAATTCTCTTTGGCCGTAATTAATTTACATCTTTCTACGAAATATCAAATTCGGAAATCATAAAGATGAAATCAAATAACAAGGAAATAATTACTAAGTCTGCCATCAAAATTGTATTTCGAGTGGTTAGACAAAGTAATTTATTATAATGGTAGTCTAAACGGAGCTTTGTGTGTCAATCATCGTTGTGAATGCATGACCAAGCTCAATGTATCCCCGTCGACCGCAGTGCCCGTAGTTCGTATGCAGCGTCGCAGGTGGCACAATCTATTGCCGTTCACGAGAATACACACGTTTCAAATTTATTACTTAGCTAGCCACACGACTAAACAATTTTGTTCTTACTCAATTGCTAACTTATTGTTTCAGAGAACATGGAAGGGAAGCGACTGAACGGCGGATTTTTCTTCGTAGATTCATTACCCGTCACGCCCTCCGGCAAAATACATAGAGCAAAAGTGAAGGAGATGGCGCAGACGGCACAAAAAATCCTCTTCTAGTGAACTAGATAGACTATCAACTATCACTATTCGATTCCATCAGTAATACTGGTCACTTACCAGTACGAATCTTTGTGTTATTAGGTCGAGATTAAATGTAAAATTCTCATTTTAGAAATTAAATCACATTACTAGGAATAATTAATATTGAAATGAGTAAAGCATTTTCTAAAACTCATTAGGTGTATAGGATTTATATTAGTCAATATACAATGTAAATATGTTAATGATATAAGCTGCCTATGTTTTATTTATTTATTAAACTATTTACATGACTAAATGTTATTGAAATAAATACGTACTTTTAAGTAAGTACAATATTTAGGCTAACATTTAATATATTATTGTAAATTAGTTCATTGATTAATCGTATTATGTAACTAAGTTGTAAGTAGGAAAATAAGATTTGAATATGAATAAAAATAAAACATTATTGAAATATTTTGGTTTGTTAATTGACTCAAACAAGACCCAATTAAAGTAACCGTCTACTGTTCAAAAAGAAGTGTTTCATAACTTATTGTTTTATGAACAAAACTAATACAACTAGTCGTAATAACTATTCAGCAGACTATATCAATACTTATCAGGTACACACCTGAGAAGTTATACAACTTTACAAGTTTCCAACTCAAACGAAAACGATTCAAAATTGAGCCCCAATTTTCGTCGAAAGGGCAAAACTAAACTGCTTCTTATATATACAAATATTATTCTACTACGTCAGTAGATATAGTTCGTATAATACAAAACTTGTTTTGATAATATTATGTATAACAAAATTCACCGCCATCTCGCCTGGTAGTAAGCGATAATGCGGCCTACGATGGAGCGCGTCTGCCTATAAGTAACTGATGTACTTGGGCCTTGAAGACACACATAGTAAACCCTTTAAAAAACACAAATTCTGGCAAAGTATTCCACTCCTTAGCATTACGTACAAGTAAACTTGATGCGAAGCGCTTCGTGCTTGTGAGTGGGACATCTACCATGGATCAGTGACGCTTCGACTATACCTTTACAAAATCATCTTATGTTATTCCACGAGGTCCACAAGGCGCCTGCTTTTTCTAATTTATAAGGATCGACGCTTTTATAAAAATCAAAGATTAAATAAAACCGTTTATCAACATTGACATTACATTATACAGAAACAATATTGAATATTGTTTATTAGATAAAGATTTGCGTAATTAATTAGTAGTCAAGTCCTGGAAAAGACCGAGAGACTGTCAGACTTTTACTCACTAACAACTGGTGCCCTGTTTCACACAATATATGTAACTGTTATTTCATTATTTATTTATTATTATTTTCAGCCATGATCGTCTCTCTGCAGGGCCTCCCTATCCTCCTTCCACTCCTCTCTATGTAAAGCTTTTTGTGGCCAATCCTTGTAGGATTGGCCGCAAAAAGCTTAACACAAACTATTAAGTAACTTATTACATACAACACATTTACATTTAAGTAGAACTTATACACCCACACTATCACACACCTTTACACAGAAAAACCAATAAAAAAGTTAGACGAACGTTTTACAATCGATACCTTTCAGTTTAGACTAGGTAAACTCACCATATGAGTCTCTCGGTCTCCCGCAGTCTCTCACTAGTGGTATCTTCTATCTCCATAACCCAAAGTTGGGCGCGACGCCGGAACTAGTAGTGCCATCAAAGTTTTGAATTCGCATTGATTGAACGAACGTAGTGACGTGACCTATCACAGTTCCGTATTTACTATTGGAGATATTGTCACTAGGCAATATTGAGTTTTTAGCTGCAGTTAGAGTTGTATAGTGGGTGAGAGTTGATATCGTTTGAAGAACTGGTGTTTATGGCAAAACAATAAACTCAAGTTTTTGTTATTAAAAACTTGTGTTGCATTTATTTTCTAATTGCTATTGTTTTCGGGTTTTCAAGATACATAATATACGGTTATACATGCAGTTATGTGACTGTACTGTAGTGTTCTTGTAGATACTTTTGTGACAGCAAATTATGAAAACTCAGAGTAGTTTATGATATGAGAAAGATTTCTAATCGACTTCAATCATACAAAACTTCACAAATAAACATAGTCTTTCAATAATGTACTTCTATGAAATATAACATAACATAACATAACATCACTTTTTATCCCCGAAGGGGTAGGCCGAGGTGCACTCTACAATGTAACACCCACTTTTCACTATTTATGTTATGAGTCCCATGTAATAGGGGGTGAGCCTATTGTCATAAATTCTATGAAATAAAGGCCAATTACTCTATTGTCTAACAAAGTATACATTAATAATAAAAGCATTATTAAGCACTCTATACAGAAGTACAATAAGAAATATCTGCTCGACCTAAAATTTAGAATAAAACTTTACTCCACGTCCGTAATTAGGTCACAACTTCCTATAACAAAGTGAACATTTTAACTTGGAATATTAAAAGGTTTCCGATGGTCTTATCTATTCTACTCTTAGTTTAAGAAGAAAAGTCGACGACAAAAGGATCTTTTGTCAAATAAAAAAAAAAATTATAAGGAACTCCCTATCTGTCTAAATTGGGTGAGTGATGGCGACTGCCGACATTTTTATGGTTTGTGATTGTTTTATTTTTTTAAGTAAGTGTTTTCTAAAATTAAAACTTCGATAGGGATGCCCCACTTTGATACCGGTGAAAGAGATAAATGATATTAAAGAGCTGCTTTGTAAAGGATCTATCGTATACAATTAAGCAAGAGTACCAAATACATTGATTTCCAAACTTCGAGATATAACAGACAGTATCACTAAAATAAACTTATATGACACAAAACTATCATTGATCACTCAAAGGTTAATATATCAATCAGTATTAGAAGATAAGCTAGAGTTACATGGTATCAACGCCCAGTCACTCACGTGACGTCATAATGATGACCTGATGATAGATAACTGAAGACGTGAAAAGAAGATTCATTGCTTCATCAGATGTTTGCAGGAAAATGATTCTATGGGGACCCAAATAAGTAATATGCAGTTAATATAGCTTAACCAGTATGAATTAAGTATCAGTAAATTGGTGAGATTAGTAAGGAGTTTATTATATTTTTGAGAAATTGATTTAAGTATGGGTTTTGTGTGAAGATAGTGATGACGTAAACGTCGAGGATCCTTATCCTCATCGTCTAAATATTCAACATTAATAAATTAATGAAAACCAACAATTATCTGATTGTGAAAGTTCTCTAAACTTTATAACACACGTTCACTCGCCTAACATGTAAAAAACGCAAAACATTTTAACAACTCGAGAGGCAGTTAGGTTCAGTTTCAAGAAGAGCGATTGCGCCACTTTATTTACTCGTCTGCCTAATTTCCATGGCTAATGAGGTGTCAGTAAATTAATAGCTTCATCCAACTTATTGGCTGCGAAGTGAAAAATTTAATCAAACCCTGCGAGACAAAAAGTGGAATAGAACCGGATGCGTCTAATTAATTACCGTGCCGACGGCGTCTAATCAATCCTCTGGCTAAAAGGATGAACCTGCTACTGTCTTACTAGTCCAATTAATCTGTATCCTGTTTTTACTCGACTTTCCCTCTTCCGATCAAATCTTCGGCTATTCAAACTTTCCTCCTATTTAACTTTATTTGCCGAACAAACTCAAGTACGTACCCCCCATCCCGTTATCAGGGAATTGGTAATTTGAAGTGTATGTTAATTCTGTGGCTGTCGGAATTAAATGATTAATTATACACGATTTCGGAAACCGGCATGAACGTCATAATATATCTGAAGTTAATTGTAGCTGTACTGCTATGATAACTGAAAGTGGGCAAAATAAAATTTTAACGAAGTACCATTAAATTTTATTTTAAACTCGTTAATTTTGATTCGCGCAGATACTTACTTCTGTAAAATACGTTTTAATAAAAGCCCTAAATATCAAATTATGGAACTTGAATAATTATTTCTTTCAGTACCAGCCAATTAGGATGAAATTAATCGCAATGGATTGCTATTTAATGACCAAATTATAAAGTTGTAGCCGTAGCAGATCTACTAAACTTTTTCTCGTAATTTATTCATTACTTTGTGTAATATGATTTGTAAAAAATGGCGTATAAAAGTAAGACTTTGGAAGAAATAAAGAGGTCATTGTACTTTTGTGAACAGAATTCTTAATGGGTACATAGATGGTACCTACGTTATGTATATGTTGTGGGCAACGTGCAAGCTATCAGAAGTCGCCGTACTAACGCATTCCTGTCACTCGTGGTTACACAAAGTCAAAGTGCATTAGCACCACTTGGGCTTCGTACTTTGAAAGGGATAAAAGAGTGATAAAATTTTACGAACGTAACGTAACAGAAGCGATCAGTTCTTGTGAGCGCTACTTTAGTAAGTCACAGATGTAGGTGACGCGTTACACGAGACGACTAAATAATGACGCGCCAACAGTTGCGGCCGACACCGCTCCACGCTACGCGGAAACTTATTCATATTATTCCAATTTGTTGTTCAATTAATATTAATAGAGTTGGGGCTAATAAAAGATTATCTTTATCTTTATGACTGTGTTCAAAAAGATTAACTGAGATCAGTGTACCTACTTTAATATTAAGAGGTTTACTTTCCTTTTTAAACAAACTGTAACAACTAATTTAGTCACTGGCAATTTTTCCAGACAGGTATTACATTCAGATAAAATATCTGTAAGTGGAGCAAAAAAATACAATAGAACAAGGAACCCACGACCTTAATATCTACTACTTACAACAGAAGCGTTCGTAGCATGTGACGCAAAAACGTGTTCCAAAATCGTGAAATAAGTAGTGGCGGCGAGGACGGCTTGTTGCCAGAACTCACTGGCCTGACGAGGAATTCACTGACACAATTTTCTATTTCCTTCGATCTATTGAATTTAGGGTATCTACGTGAGCATGAGATACTATTCATTTGTAATTTTTTACAACAAACCTATCCTATATTGAACCTAAGTAGTGATGAACATGAATAGTTGAG